CTCTCTCTCTCTCTCTCTCTCTCTCTCTCTCTCTCTCTCTCTCTCTCCCTGCTGCTGGTTTTTAATGGCTTCCCTCCAACCAGCCTTCTAGCTTCACCGCTGTACAGCATCACACTGAGAATATAGGCGTGCTTTGGAGAAAAAAAACGTTACTGAATATATGCATGCAGATGGCACTTCTTCCAAAAACCATGAGACCATAATATCATAAAGAAAGCATTGCTGTGAAAAACAGTATCTACTCAAATACAACACTGAACCACTTTAAATAATGAAAGAAAAGTTTTTCTTTCATGTTACACTAGTGATTATTTTGAGAGAGATACTGTCACAGTTTTCAGATAACTGCCTTTTGTAGATAAATAATGCTTTAGAAACTTAAATTAATTCTGTACTCAAAAGATGAAAGTAACAGACACACACAAACTAACACCCCCATACTCTGTAAAAACTCTCCATATCCATCAACATGAATGTGCCTACACATATGACAATAATTGATCTCACCACCCTATAAAGTGCCTAATAATACAATTGGAATGCAATAGGAAAACAGCAGTGGTGGCCTCCCTTGACTGAAAGAAAGGTTCACCATTTCCTGTCTGTAGTGGTACCAAATTCCTTCAACCACCTGAGAGTATAGCCTCCTGGCCTGTGACTTCCCCAGACACCTGATTACTGACAGATTGTCTGTGTTTGGCACAATAAACCCCACAAGGGACTGAAAACCTGGGTTGTGCCATCAATATAATATGAAAACGGGATATGGTGTTCCAAGATGGCACACATTCATAGCATTTAAAGTTGATCACTGGGCACATACACTGAAAAAGCCATTCGGCCATTTTGGTCCCATAGCAGATTATAACCTTTCTCTGGCTGAGGCGGCCACACAAATGCCATGAAATGAATTTGTTAATATGGCTCCAAACCAATTGTTCTTTGTTGTTTTAAAGTCATTTTCTTTCATAGACTGTATATAAAAAGTGGATGTGGTTACCGTGATATTACCCATTGGTTTGTGGACTAGTGTTTTAGCCGTGAGTTTGGCATTTTGGCCATTGCCATATTGTTTTTTTGGAACCAGAAGTGACATTAGAGGACGGAGCGAAGTACAGCCGAACACTGAGCAAGGCATTTTTAGGCGACTAAAATGTTACTAACTTTTGTTTACTGAAAACACACTGTGAAAGGGTTAAAGAGTTCTAAGACAAAAACCTGGCCAACACCCAAACACCGTGGTGGCAACCTGTCACTCACAAGGCAGCCACGACCTAAAGCATACCCTGCTTTATCATCTATTTTACTCTAAACAGGACCATCATTTACTAAATGAACATCGTGCTGGATTGAAGAAGACTTGAAACTCGCGATTGAGACCATAAACCAATGTTTACAATGTTTACTGAGGTAATAAAAAAAGTGACAGAAGTCTTTTCTTTTTTTTGCAAATAAAGGAGTTGCCCCCAGTTGTCCATTTGAAACAATGCAAGCTTATGGCATTAAATATTGAAACAAGTATGTTTTGGGCCAGAGTCACATGATTTGCAATTCAAGCAGTGGCGAGGGGAAGCTAGACAACCCTGCCAACTGATGAAAGATGCTTCATGCTGTGTGTCCATGCCTGTCTGCATGGGCTGACCTTGAAGGCAAAGGCATAGAAAAAATTGAAAGTGGGCTACATGTGCAGTACTTGCCTCAGCCTCAGGAGATTGATATGCTGCGTTACAACAACCTCCCCCATGCCTGCTTGTGCCCGGTACTTTGTGTACTGCCCATACCTTATTTATTGCCACCATTTGGCAGTTCATCATGAGGCCCCAGTGCTCGTCCTTTGCCAACATTGTTTCTGTTGTCCCAATAGCAAAGGGCTAACCATAACTGCCTGTAGATTACTCTGCAACCTGTAAAGGGGAACTACATGGGCTCCTTCCCATAAACAATAGACACAGTTGCACCGGGCGCATCTGTAGTAGGGCCAGACTGGTGATACCATGAGCCCTAGGAGACAGTGTCCCTGTGGCCTTGGCTTCTAATCTGAATCGTGAGAGAAACTTTCTGAGTAGAGTCTGCTAAACGCAATTTGGGAATCCACCTCTAGGCCCACAAACCATGTCGTCAGGGGAGGCTGCAGCCTTGCTCCATGAACAAGCAAGTCTCTCTTAAACTTAAAGAGCAGCAAAGCCTATCCTCTCAAACACATACTGTATATCTCTTCCACATAAGTCAACCTGCTCTCCTAAAATCAGTCCAAAAAATACCAGATTTTCAGGTAATTATTATTAGAGTAAAAACTTGATTATATTAGTGTTGGGCCTGTAATCAGTTAGAAATGCTGGGGTCACATGCTTTTAGTTATAGTAGTAGAACAAAAGCAGATTTAAGATAAGGAATTTAATTAAAGACAAAGGATAGATTAAAAAGATGTGTTAGTGAACAAGAAATAGATTCATCTGCTATCTTTAGAAAGTGTGGCACAAGGTTATCAGGGGCGTCTGATTTGCTGATGTCTAAAAGCGTTAATGCTTTGTGTACCACTGTGGTCGAAACAATTAAAATAAAAAGGATTGCTAACAGTTTTTGATAGAAAAGTTGTCACCTTCTACATGAAGTTACATTTTCTTTCCATATTAGGAATCAGCTGTATTTCCTCATAATCAAGATCTCTAAATAACACCACACTCCATGAAATATTTTATATAATGCTTCCTTATAATACACAGCTTAGCTTTAGGATTTTTTTGTATAAGCTGCAGTAGTTGCATTGTTGCAATATATAAATTTGTTTATCCAAAACATAAACCACATCAATTTAAGGAATTTAAGAAACCACATCTTCATGGATGTGGTTTTGGTTTCAGAATGAAACTTCAGACTGACCTAGATTTGAAATCAGCTGGGGTTTTATAACCAACAGTAGGCCTGTCTGGTCCTACATTATGTTACATATTGCATGAGCCCATTAACATCAGAACAATTAGCCTGCTATTACTTTGTAACAGTATGAGTTGTAACTGTTCTGGACATTAAAACACACCTTACAGAAGTACTTACAGTCTTTAAACACTTGCACATGTTTATGTGAAGGTTTACACTGGAGAATAAATTAATAAATGATTGGGTTATGTGCCGAATACATAATGTAGGAGTGTGAACAAATATATTTCGGCATAGTGTCGGTGCATCTGTGTGTGCATGGATACACACAGATGTGTATACTTCTATGTCTGTGCAATTGTATTCTTCCATTTGTGTGTCATTTATTCCTGACTATGTACAATTTGTGCAGTCAAGTAGGTTGAAGATTGCATGCTGTGGCTTGAGCCCCTACTAGTTTTTATCTCCACTGTACTTAGCTCAGCTATAAACCTCTTCCATATTTAATAACCAGCCTGCTGTAGTTTGACCTCTGTATTTGTCTACCAGTGAAGGAAAACACATAAAATGTGACACTTCTTGTGACCATACATGGAGCGGGTATGATCTTCTCAGATGTGTTGTGTTTTCCTGTCACTCTGGCAATGTCATTGATGGATGAGGTTTGTATGAATAGAAGATGATTATAGTCTAGATAATGAGGATTGCTTTAAAATGACAGTCTGACAACTGTACTTATTCACAGTGAAACTCATTACAGTTGACAAAAAGTCCAACAATATCCATGCAAATACATAAGCTGTCTGTAGTTTATATCTTTGTCAGCTAAAGCTGTTATAATCACTATTGAATTGATAAAGAGTTCATCTTTTTCACACTGCAGTGACAATTAAATAAATATAATGTATTACTGAAGTATTCCTCAAAAATGAAACGCCATCGAGACATAAATTATGTTTTTGCAATTTTCAGACCCTTCTGCTGGGAGCAGTCATCCAAAATCAAATAAAGGCACACATCTAATGTGTGTGCCTGCACATACATACATACACACACTCAAACACAAACAGACACATGCTGTCAGGGTGAAGGGAAGCAGTGAAAAATGTAGGCATGGGAGCTATGGCAGCTGTGCCCCCAGAGGCTTGCATCTGGTCCAATCTGGCAACACACACACACGCATACCTGCTGCCATGAGCCAACTGGACAAAAATGGGTTTGGCAGCAGAAAGTTTCGAAGACTCTGGATTGAGCACATAAAGCTTGGATTAGGTTTTTCAACATAAAATACTGACTTCATGGTTAATCATTTGCATTTATTTTAATTGCAGATTGTTAGGGAAGCATAATGCATTCACTTAAGAAAAAAAGATTTGCCATGTTTTTCTGAATCAACAAAATTATTATCTCGGTAATTTTGAGAAAAGTTTTAATGGAAAAATGTTCTCAAGTGAATGCATTATGCTTTTGCAGATTATTGATACACTTATCGTATTATAAAATGTGTATCTGTTAATCCATAATTGTTTAGTTTCTTCAGTGGATAAAAAAATATTGAAATTATTGAAATTTTCAATAAAATCCAAAAGGAAGAAGTCTTACATGAGTCCATCATCAACTCTGTTAAGCAAGGAGAAAGGGCCTGCTAATCACTGGGAGATAAAGACTGAGCCTTCTGCTTGGCTTTGACAGTGTTATCTTCGATATGGTGGTGTGGGGGCCCTATCAAAATGCGATTAAAATGACTGACATAAGCTATCTGCTTTCTCTCCACAGGTCCGCATATTCCCTTACCTGATTGGTCGAGAGTCAGCCTTCGCAGATAATCTGAAATGGATGGCATGTGCTAACAAAGGTGGGATCTTACAACACATGCATAGACCTCTGTGCTTTTTCTCTAATTGTAATCTGTTTTTGCAGAAGAAAGTTGCTGCATGCTGCTGTCAGCCAGGCAAAAATGAATACATTAGGAGCTCAGGATTTGTTCAGGGTTTTTTGGCATATGAGTCTGTGTGCGTGCATGTAGTTGCATAGACATGTTTGTCAGTGCTCATCAGTATAAGCATGTGTATGTGACAGCAGGCAGCTGGTTCCAGTTGCAGCGACCAGATATGTCACATTACATATTCCTCTAAGCCTAAAGTCCAAACTATCTTGACGATGTGCCACTTTCCAGTTGCTTGGTGTGTGGTCATGGTTGTCTCGGTGTGTAGAGCACTTTCCTTTAGGTTCTATATTTAGCTGAGAGGTGGGTGACAGAGACAGGCTGGCTCCATTTCCTCAGACTGCTGTAGATAACACAGGCAAGCCCTGGGTCACACAAGGGGTGTGCATGTGTTTTTAGCTGTGTGTGTGTGTGTGTGTGTGTGTGTCTATTTATATGTGTGTAGATAAGAGGACAAGGGCATCCACAGTTAAGCTTGGAAGTGATATTAGAGAACCCATCCAGTCAGTTTGAGGGTGTTAATGGCGAAGATGAGACCTGCCTGTGTGTCGTGCTACATAAGTGTGTGTTAGTATGATGCATGATGATTCAGGCTTGTGACAGCGACATCCTCTCGAGCCTACAGGAGCTCTGCAGAACAGTCTTTGCTCTGCTCCCCAGGGTCAACATCTCTATTCCAAACTGCATCAGAGAAATTGGTTTTACTCCTTCACTGTTTTACTTTTAGTAGTTTTGCAGGCGAGAGTAAGGTATAGTGTTATGCTGTTGCCACTGTTACTGAAGGCTGTGGTGTCGAAATCTCTCCTTATGGCCTGTGATTGGAGCAAAGTATATTTTTATCGAAATGCTAAGTGTCGCAGCACAAGATGTGCTGCTAAAATAATTTTATGTCTAGGGTATTTAAATTCCACTAAGCCTTATGGCTGTACCAGCTACTAACAGGCCATGCATATGAGAATGCCTTTGGTTGCCAACCAACAAGAAAAGGATGCTGGTCTGGCCCGAAGCCCAGTTGAGCTTGATTAACTGTCTACCGTCGCTCCACTGTTCCCTGCTGTGTTGCTCACTCGACTCAGTGGCTAGTCCAACTCAGGTCCACTCTGGTCCTCTTCATGTTTAAACAACCTGTTGGTTTTAGAAGGAAAGAAAAAGACAGAAACTAAAAAAATGATAAGGTAAAAATACCTGAGGGTGTATGAGGGTTATCATTCATTGTCCATCACGGTCTTAACAAAAAGAGACCTTCAGTGACACTACACTCTCTTCTTCATCTACTTTCACTTTCCTGGTGTCTGCCCTCATAGTACAGATGATCCGTACTCTTAACATTGAATTTAGATGACAAGATAGAAAACTTGTTTGTGTGAATACAGTGTATTATTCCATCAATTAATTATCTATGCCTATCAAACATACACTATATGGCCGATGGGAAGTGGACCGTCTAGTCCGAATACAATACTTTTATGTACATATTGTCTGGGCTAGGCCTCTTCGTTTAAATTAAGAGAAATCTTAATGCTACATGATATTTTAGACGATAGGTTCCAGCTTTGTGGCAACAAGAGGCACAATGTGTGTGGTTCTGTCTTTGGGAAGTGTCATTTTTCAGTTACCGTACTCTTTGCCTGCTTTATATGTCTTGTTAAGCCCTGAATATAGAACAGTCATCAGCAAGCCCATGTGTTGTCGGAGCAACTGTGGCAGAGTGGTAGAGCGGGTCATCCTTCAATCGGAGGAACGGCATTCCTTGGGCAAGACACTTAACCCCGAATTGCTTCTGAGGCTGTGCCTTGCATGCTAGCCCCTGCCATCAGTGTATGAATGGGCATGAATGGGTGAATGCTATGTACTGTTAAAGTGTTTTGAATGTTCGGAAGACTAGAAAAGCGCTATACCATTTGCCATTTACCGTTTTCTGCCACAGAAGATAAATAATAAGCGTTTTTTGCCTGCATATCACCCAGACCAAGGTCCTTTAAAAGGATATTAATGCCTGACCAGACCATGTTGTGGCTGCCCTGTCCTGTGTGTACGACAGGTGTACCATGTCACTGAAAGGAGGGAGCATTCATTGTTTCTCTCCCCAGCTCATCTCACTGGCCCCGGTGGCTCAGCCTGAAGGATGCCCTCAGCCTTCCAGAGGGAGCAGTCATTCTTCACTTACCACTGTGATGAACAATGCAGTGAGACTGAGGCAGCTCGCTTTGTGTGCGATGCGAGTCTGTGTGTTGTCATTGTACTGTCTGCTGGAATAATAGCCGGAACCGAATTTCTCTGAGGATGAAAAGGAGGAAGTTGTCAAGGTTCACTTCCAGGTCAAGTTCGGGGGCCAGTGCATTCTTGTCGCTATAGTGATTGCAGTAATCATGTGGCTTTAATTCTCCCAGTGTTAGTGTACCATATAAACTTTTAGCCTTCATAAAAAATGTGACCGTGTTGCAGATTTGAATTTAGATTATCAGTGATGGATTCTATCCTTAGTTATTTGGTAGGATATGTGGCATCCTTCATGGATCTGTGTATTGTATCTAGATTCTAGCTCGTTTACTCCCTGTGGAGTAAAGGTCGTTGCCAGGAACGATGACCCCAAAATCTATTTCCTCCAGCTATGATTTTCTCCTTGACTGCCTCACAGTGATGAAGGCAGTTTGCTGTTTTTACGGATGGATGAAAATGTGGTGGTCTCTCTCTTTTCCCTTATTCTCAGTGTCACATCTTGTCCTCTCTCTCCCTCTGTCTCACTGTTGTCGTGATTCCCTCTCTTTCTCTTCCCAACTCTGCCCCCCTGCTGACATAACAGTATATTCCCTCCTGCACATTCACATTAGCATCATAATGGTGACATTACCAGCGTAGGAAATGGCATCGCATTTGGTTTAACTGAAATAGCTTTTCTACGGCATTTACATACCACTTACTCATTCACAAACCCATGCTGGTTTGCTCTCACTCGTACGCCACTGCGAGGTATTCCTCAGCTATAACTCATACAGTACATGTATCCAGGTGTCCATTTGCTTCATCAAGCAGATACAGTTTCTGTGCTTTGGTACAGAGGTAAATAAAATGGGAGTGACGGCTTAGATTATTTAGCCAAGCTGATGTTGGATGTGACACTTGCTGCAATGTGAAACAGATTTGAGACACAGACACTGTACATCTAATTTCTGTTTCAGGGCAGCATAGTGTGTTGGGAGACTCTCCATTGTTCACAATCATCTAAGTTAAATGATTCATCATCATTTCTCTCCTCTTCCTCCCCTCTCTGCCCAACAGGCTACTTCACTCAGATTTCCACATTGGCAGATGTGCAAGAGAATGTGATGGAGTATCTCCACGTGCTGAGTCGTCCCAAGGTGATCGACCGGGAGCACGACACGGTGTGGACTGAGGCCTACGTCGACAGCACTGTGAGTTGATACCATGTCTTACATGGTATTGGATTCCAGTTCCCACAGTCTTTACTTATACAAACACACACTGGATTGTGGACACAGAATATTCGGTGATGGATTTCAATTTATTCTATGAAGAAAACGTAAACCATAATGCACAAAAAAAGTACATTAGCATCTTCAGGAACGACTTGTTTAAATCCAAAGGAGAATAGTAGTGACAACATGCAAGCGGAGGCCTGACACTGTGTTTTCCCGTCGTGCGTCTCAGACTGAATGTGTGAAAGTGTGTGTGAGCAGCAGATGGAACCATTAAGTCAAGGACTGCTGTGTGTGTTTGGGAGTTGTATAGCATGAGTACAACACACTGTGGCACATTGGTGAGTTGGTCTATGATCTCTCAACCTCAGACACTGGCCAAACACAGTTGATTTTCACTCTAATATTGCAGCAAGCTCATATAATCACGTGCATTGCTAAAGTCCCATGCTTTATAATTCTGTGGCACAGACATTATCATCCCTAAAACGCCCCGAAGGATAACGCCCTTATATAATAAATAGGATCCTCTTCTAAACCTTAATATACACACAATATACTGGAGTTTCCATGCATGCACAATGCTTCTCTTTTGTTGGTTATTTTGCTTGGCCATAAAGAGTGAATAGTAGCCATTTGTCTTCCAATATTTTTTCGAATGGATTATGAGAGAGAGCTTCAAAAATGTAAGGAGACAAAGGCAAGTGCTCTCTAGCAGAAAACCGCACAGGCTATCAACACTGCATGAAAATGCATTATTTCTTCCTGCGATCCTCTTCATATTCCTTTTTCTGTTTTTCTCTGCTTATTCCCTTCCCTCTTTGCCCTCATTATCCCCATCCATTTATCACAGTCAAAGTACATTCACCCAACACTGATTCAACACTAACAGCTTAAGTGTTGTTTCCTCTGCTGTGACCCTCCCAGCCATAAAGCTCTCCTCTCTTGACACAGTCACTGTTTTTAAAGTTGCAGTCAAAGTCAATGACAGTAGATTTTACACGCCCACAGATGCTGGCACTCCATTCAGTGGAAAATGCACTGAAAGGCTTTCCAACACTTATCCACAAACTTATTGACCCTTTCTCTCCTCCCCTCCTCCTTAATCTGTTCTCTTTAGCTCCCCCAAGCACAAAAGGTAAAAAAAAAATCTGACTTGAGGTCATCGCTGTATTGTGCTGTGTTGAGGCCTGGTGTGTGTTCATGTGCATTTCACGTGCATGTGCGTTTTGGTCTCTGATCTCTGCGGGATGACGGTATAATTTGGGTGAACTAACTACCATACTGACCCATGGCATTTTCTTGTGTGTCAGTGTCGTATGTCGCTCCTCAACTTCCTGATTCAAACCATGCATTGTGGTTGTCAAAGGTTCAGTTGATCGCTCTCCTGTGCACGTCTGATCAAGCACACGTATGTGCACACGCTCACAATCATTCATCATTAGTGATGCTGTGTTGGCTGTGCTTTGCCAGTATCTCCGGGGCTGGCAGTGTGACCATATGTGTAAGTGTGAGGCTATGTTTTTGCTCTTTTGTGACTTTGGTGTGAAAAACGACGAGATTGCCTGTGTTATTTGTCTTGGTAGAATTCTCCAGAAAAAGCTTTTTTGTCATCTTTCGGGTGAAAATCCAATAGCCTGTAATGACTGGCGGGATGGTCTGTTCTGATGCCTTATTATTATTTTCAGTGTTGTATTTTTTCCAGTGTTTTGTGAATCATATGTGAGTTGAGATAAGCAGCTCTATAATCATAACAATGATGGTGGAACAGAAGAGTGCTCTGCCCCCACATCAGCATGAGCTGAGCACAGAGCAGTCCCATTAGACAGCTGGCAGGCCATATGTCTGACATAGTACTGTTAGTGTGATAGATCCAAGCTTATTGACATTGAAGCAGCTCAGCAGAAAACAGAAATAGATATTACATTGTTAGAGATGATAATTGGGATTAGCAAGGAATCTGCACTGCTTCTTTGCATATAATCATCCCAGCACAGCTCTGGCCTAGGTGCTAGGAGCGCACAATCAGAACAGTCCTCACACACACACCCAGCATGGTGATAGTGTCTGATAAGAAGTTGGCAAAACTCCTGGGATTGGCTCAGAGTTAGGAAAGTGATGAGCATCTGGTATTTATGTTCCAGGGCTGATGTGTATCATCTTTCCAGATGTACCATTCATCCTATATTTCCTCTCTGCTCCATCCCTCTCAGTGCGACCCAACAATCTTTCTAGCCCTTCCCCTTTCTTCCTCTGTCTCTCCCTCCAGCTCTTCTCCCCCCCCCCACCTGTGCTATCCCCTCTTCTCCCTCTCCCTCGTCTCACCAGCTTCATCCATCATTCTCTGCCTCATTTGGCTTTGTTTCCCACTCTGTCGGATGAACTGACACAGGAGCACAGGGATGATGGGAGGGAGATGGGGTAGAGAAGAATGTGGAGTGGAGGGGATAGTGAAGGACGAGTGTAGGAAGGACGAGAGAGAGAATGTAAGATATTTGAAGACAAAGTTGGAAAGAGAACTTAAAGGATGTAAAGAAGGATGCAGGGTTGAGAAGATGGTTTTTGCACTGAAGTTCACAGAACAAGATTGATACTTGGTAAAGCATGAAGCCAGACAAATGAGAATGCTGTGAGCAGTTGATTACCTTTGGATGATGAAATGAAGTAGTAAGCTGTTCAAAATGTCTAGCAGTGTCCCCGACTAAGAATTTACATGGTCAAATCTGATTGGTCAAGTCTTGCCTTAAGTCGGCGGATTGTATAATCATATTTTTTTTCTTCCATGGCGGTAAAGCTTGTATGTATCAGTAGAAAAATAGTAAAAACAACAAAATTATTGGTCACATTACTATTGCTGAGCTGTTGTTTCAGAACAACGGTCAGCACTGTTTGCTGTGCGTAGGGTTTGTGCGTGTGTGTGTGTGTGTGTGTGTGTGCGTGTGTGGTTGCGGTGCTGTCCGTGGTACCGTTGCAGAGGGGACATCAATAGAAAGAGTTACATGGTTTCCTATCCTGCTGGCATTTCGTGGTTATATATGAAACTTTCGTTCCTAATTTCATTTTCCCCGTTGTATCAATTCGCAGACATAATTGAAATGACAAAGAGGCGAAGGGACAATCAACGTGAGAGAGAAACACAAGCCAACAGCTGTTTCTGCCGCCTTACCCCACTGATTTTAGAGAATCTTTATCTCATTCAAAATATATCAATTGCTCTGATAGTGCTACCTGCTTATGTGAGTGTTCTTGTTAATAAATACATAAATTAAATATATATATAAAATATAAAATAAATAGCCATTTTTTTTAAATGTATGAATGATGAATGATTCTTTGTTTCATTACCACATTTTTACGTCACTGCGAGTGTGAGATTGGCAGTCGTATCAGGCTCCTGTTATCGAACAGTCGACTATTTGCGGTCACCCCTAAAAATGTTGTGACGGATGAAGATAAACTTTTCCACCATTTCAAAGTAAAAGCGTTAATTAGGACTAAAGCAATTCAGAGCATAGATGTGCCTGGTCCGTGCCATCTCTGCTCCCCTTTGTGTAAATGTTCGTTTCCTCTCAGGAACCTACGGGGGGCTTTGGCTCAAGGGCTTACACACACCAACATCATTAAAGCCGGTCTCCAAGGAAACAAGGGTCACCTCGTCCACCAGAACACAATTTGTCAAAGCAACCTAGATTAAGAGGTGTCCTATGAGACCGCAAACACAGTGCAGGGTGGGTGCATCTGAGCCCTCTGAGGGGTGCAAGTGTGTGGGCATGTGTGGGTATTTGTGTCAGCGGGTGAATAAAAGCCTAGAGGGGTTATTTTTCATTCTCTGACCCGCAGCAGGGGAAAGGACTTACACACCCAATTTGTTCTGACTGATACAGATAAAGTCACGGAGGAAATCATGATGCGGATTTGGTCCAAATGTGTGTTGAGTTCTGACCTTGCATTAGAGGTTGCAGGTTATGTACTATATGTCAAATTCTAGATACAGAGCACTCCCTTAGGGACTTGCAGCACAGTCAGCAAAGTCACTTATTTAGGGTTAAAGGAAGTATCTCTTTTCTCTCCCGGGTTTGTATAATGAAGCATAGGTTTAAAGGCCTTTCCTCCTCTGGGTAGGGTAAGTGAGGATCCTTTGTAGCTGTGCTGTTGGCTTTGAATCTTACAGATGCGGTTGCTTTTGTTATCTGCTTAATTATAGTATGTAATTTCCCAGAGCAGCTGGGCAAGCCTGATTTACACCAAATGCACATATACTGGAAATAAGCATGTTAGGTTAGTGTTGTGCAAAAAGTACACATTTGATAGGACTGCTCAACAGCAGCTCATGGGGATACACAATAAATGTCAGTCCATACGTTTGCCCAGCTGTGATATATGATCCAATAGATCTGAACTTGGAAATAGATTTTATATTTTTAGATGAGGCTCTGCTCGCTTTCGCTGTCCTTTGATCGATCCCGTTCACCAGCAGCAAGGGTGTCTATTGCTACAGCAGCTGTACTTAGGTGTGTTTTGTTCTCTCTTTGATGCCCAATCCTCCGTCCTGCATTGCTATTACTACCTTTCTCCAAGCAGGTCACCAATTCCCCTTTTCCCAGTGCCCGAGGAAGACAGAATGCATGTTAGCGGTTTCCTGTCATTACCTATTATTACTGGAGGTAAAAGGGGGGTGAGCGCTGGAGGAAAGAGAGTGTACAGGAAGTATGTTATGTTCAGTTAAGTATTTCACTGAGAGAAAGTGTGGAATCTAATATTAAATAAAGTCAGTCTAACAGACTGATTCTCTATTGATTGCTGCAGCAGAAAAGGATCAAATGCAACATGATTTATGTTTTATGTTGTCATCTCTAACTCAACACAACTGTGCATTGTGTTCTGGGATTCATTTTGCACTTAATGGACCAATTACTTGTGGTGACTGCAACGTAAACTGCGTGAGTGACTGACATTTAGACAGTTTTGACATTTCTGAGTGGACAAGGTCGGACCACTTTTTGCAGAGTGGGAAGCCCTCCTCCAGTATCTTCATAACAGTGTCAAGCTTTCATCTCTAATGGATATCGTCGTCAGAGACAGAAAGCCGCTGAAAAGATAAATATCATAATTATTCCAGTAGTCTTTAGGGAGTGAAGATACCAGATCCAAACTAGAAGCACTGCCTTTGGATAAGCTTATTCTGCAAGAGATCAAAGGCAGGCTGGTGATTGGACACATTTTAAGGCAAATAATAAACATGAATAAAACATGTCATGGAAGTTTTTTAGGTCCCTCAAGAAGATAACATGACTAGGTCTGCAGCAGAATTCCTATCAGGTTCACTACTGAAGGAACGAGAGTAATGCAGCTTGAAATAATCACTCAATGAGTGTGACAAGATTCATTCAATGTGTATGATACCATGCAATGTGTTGTGTAGTTACTTTTCTTTTGTGACTATAAAGATAATGTTTCATCATTAGCTTCCCTCTTCTCCCTTCCCCCCTCTCTCTCTCTCTCTCTCTCTCTCTCTCTCTCTCTCTCTCTCTCTCACCCTCTCAATTGCTATCTTTCACTTTTCTTCCCTCATGACTCACTCAGATGGATGACGGTCAAGGTCCGGTTCTGATGACCACAGTGGCAATGCCAGTGTTCAGTACCAAGAATGAGACTGTAAGTGCACATAAAATGCTATACAACATCCACTGTCACTACAATTATGTTTACCCAATTTGTTTTCTCCAACAAACAGTTTAGCTTAATTGAAAACACAACGCAATTACATATTGCATAACTCACGGGGAATTAAGCTTTGAAACAAAAGACACAAACTGTGAAATAATGGTTAATTGTTTGTCAAATTAATTTAAGTTTGATTAGAGTCTGTAAATTAGGATACAGTAGAGCATCACTAATTCATACATACTATATACTATAGATTGACATTGTTTATGTCATGAACAGTGGATTTGTAAGATACTGTGTTGTTTAATAACCTTTCAAATGCAATTTAAAAATAATCCTAATGTGTGTGCTTCCAGAGAAACCGTGGCATTCTGCTAGGGGTGGTTGGCACAGATGTACCTGTCTCTGAGCTGCTCAAGACCATCCCCAAATATAAGGTACTGCTCCGAACATCATTTAGCTACATTGCTGCACATAATTATAGACCTCAATGGCTATATGAGATACACCTCTATAGCATCACACCTTTTATGAATGTGTGAATATTCCCTTGTGAATGTGTCATTCATCTGGATGCTAAGTCAGTAAAGAACTGCGGCAAGTTACTTTAAAGGATTTATATTTTTTACATCTGCACGTACGCCAGTCCAACTCCGCAGTGCAGTAATCGAATGCCAAATCCAGTAGCAGATAAATCAAAGGTTTTGTATAAGTTTTGACACTGATTATTCACGTCTCCTTCCCTAAATCCAATAGTGATAGGAAAATGATACACTATGTACACTAATGCATTTTGATAGTGTCCCCCGCTACATCCCCTGTGCAGATTGTTTTTACTTGACGATCTGAAGCTTGGTTGGGTGTAAGATTTTGACATTTGAAAGCGTGTTGTTTGTACGGACGTAGATTAATTACACCACCCTCCTTGCGTAGTGCAGTTCTGTGAGTTTCACCACAAAGATTCTGATAGTAAAAAAAATACAAAGAGCTTGATTAGGGCAGATTTGCTATTTAGTACAGATTATCATGCATCCATTCGGTGTGTGTGTGTGTGTTTGTGTGTATCCTTCCTAGCTGGGTATTCACGGCTATGCCTTTGCAATCACCAACAACGGCTACATCCTCACCCATCCAGATCTACGGCCACTTGTGAGTATTACCTCCAGCAACACTGAGTACAAACCTTATTATCATAACAATCCCTTTTAGGGCGCAGAGATTGAAGTTCAAATGTATTAATTTATTTTGTACCTGGGACTTAGGAATATTAACTCTTGAGTTCATAGCAAGTCAATTACTGATTTCATTGTCATATTGCGATGCCGATTGACAAGGAAAATTAGTGCGTAGTTGTGTGGGTACACCATGTGCCGTGCGTGCAGTGTGTGTGTGTGTGTGTGCGTGTGTGTGTGTGTCTGTGTGTGTGTGTGTGTGTATTGGCTGCGTGGTGGTATGTAGATGAGAAGAGTGTGTTCCAGGCCTCTGCTGTGCTGTGAATAGACAGAGATACAGCTTCTGAATGGCTGTGATTAACTCTATTGTACTCGCTTACTCCTCTCACAAGAGGATGAGGGGAGAGAGTGCAGACAGGGAGGGGAGGGAGATTGATGAGCGCAAGGAACCTGCTTAACGTGAGAATAGGTGCAGGGTGACAAAGAGGAGAGATATGGAGGCATGTGAGGAGAAGGGGAGAGGACAGAACAGACAGTGAGACAGACAGACAAACAGATGGTTTAATTGCAGTCTGATTAAAGACGTTAATAAACAGCGTTTAACAACTAATGAGGGGTGGGAGTCTGTCCTCACTGACGGATGAATGAAGAGGGGGTCACACATAAGTATGCACATATAGTACACCTTAATACACTCAATACTCTGGCCTCCAGTGTCTATTTAATGTCCATATCAAACAGGGTCAGTCAGGTAGCCAGAGGGGGAGAGGGGATGACCGTTTACCGTTTAAATTTGGCTTGATATGAAGAAGACAAGTCATCATTGTAGGTGCTGTGCTTCAATAACCAGTCGATTAAATGAATATTTTGACATTTCAGGTAATACACGTATTCTAGTTCTTTGCCAAGGGTTAGATGAGACGATCACATTTGTCTGTTCAGTATGAAGCTACCACCAAGAGACAATTAACCTTGCGTAGCCTCACAGTGATGACACCACTCTAGGGTTGTACACTGCGGTATTACAATTGACTGTTATCGTACATTTGCTTATCTATGGTATTGAAAAAAATGAATTGACTCCCTTTAAAACTACAACTTGTTGTTTTTGTGCTTTCAATGTGCAGATAGTGTGGACTTTTTCTGTAATGTTGAACAGAGCCAGGTTAATTGTTTCCCCTTGCTTCCAATCTTTGTGCTAAACTAAACTAACTGTCCCCTGTCCTGACAGAAAATACGTCATTTATGTACATTATCATTTGTCATTTATTTATTATTATGCTTTTATCTTGTTTATATTATTGTAATTCTACTGGGTTTTAAACAAAACAAACTAATTGAGAATGTTGGGCTCATAGAAATTGGGATTATAATGACTAATATAATATAATAAGTAAAAAAAGAAAATAGATGAATTGATAGTAAAAAAAAATTAAACATTAGTTGCAGCTGTAGTATGGTGCAGTATACAGTATAGTATCTGTCTGTGCATGCATGCATGTTCACATGGGCCTGTGTGTTCAGTATGGAGATGGCAAGAAGCGAAAGAAGCCAAACTACAGCAGTGTGGATCTGTCTGAGGTGGAATGGGAGGATAAGGATGACACGGTGAGACACTTGTAAAGCTGCATTAAGCATCATAACAGTACCTTTCTCAATGTAAATCTGATGTGTAAGATTTGGTATGTTCTTTGTGCCGCTAGCTGAGGAATGCCATGGTCAACAGGAAGACAGGGACCTTCTCCATGGAGGTGAAGAAGAGTGTTGACAAAGGGGTGAGGAATCCATAATTCACACAAACAAGCACTTTCCTGATGGTTCCAAAGGGTGAGCCAGTGAAAATACTCAGCAGGGAGAATCCACTCTGCCAGGGGGTTGTCACACTTGGCACAGTGATGTACAGGATTGACTTAGGGATTTTGTTTCCGATTTTGTTTTCTCTGCAGCATGGGTGTGTTTCTGTCTGTGAGTGTGAGCCCGTTATCTCCACCAAGCACATGCTGCTGAGTAATACAGACATACACACTCAAATGTACACAGACGCATATTCACAAACCTTATCCAACTACTCACACACTGCAAAAACACACACCCATCTGCAATGTAGCAGGTCCTGTGACAACCACAGCATGTATTCCCTGCACCACTAGATGGAGCCAGACTGCAGGAAATCACATCAGATAACTGCCATCGCACTGCCTACTGTTTACTGCAGCGTAAAAAATGAAATGTATTCATCTTTTATTTCAGAAACGTGTACTAGTGTTGCATAATGATTACTACTACACAGACATCAAGGGGACTCCTTTCAGGTAAGAAAACTGGAGAGACTTCTGTGAACAGTGAACAGAGTTTAGAACAACTTCAGAGTTTAGAAATTCTGAATTTCTTTGCAGAAAAAATAACTGGTGAGTTGTCATTTGAGAAAAAAATGTTGTCATTTGTTTTTAGTCTAGGGGTAGCTCTTTCCAGAGGCCATGGAAAGTATTTTTTCAGAGGGAATGTCACAGTAGAGGAAGGTAGGAAATCCTTCCTTTTTACGTAATCTGCATTATTCACTTTTAGTCATTTGTTTCCTGTATCGTTTGTGGTCTATTATGCTCTATCCCCCCTACAGTCGTGGAAGTTTTCAGATACTTTACTAAAGAAAAAATGTATCAAATACCACATTACAAGTAAAAATCCTACTTTCAGAATTTTACTATTATATATTATTTTACAATTAGTATTATCAACATACTGTACTTGTTCGAACCTTTTATACAGGGGAAAAGAGTAATATTTGTTTTATATAATTTACATTTTAAATATTTTTAATTTTATAAAGATAAGCAGCTTTATAATTGTGTCACAGAAAGCCTAATTGGGGTCAATAATGACTGCGGTCAGCTCTGGCTTCTGATTGCCTAAAATGTGTAATTTTTTGTCTGCGTTTGTCAGTTCATTTAATTAAAAACTATAAAGCCTTGAGAGGACCAGTTCATTTGGCATGCTTATAGTGTTGCATGTTTTATTATATTGCCATGTTTACATTTTTTATTTCTTAATTTTACGTTTTTTCAGTTACAGATTAAAATTTAAAAAAAACCTGTACTGAGGAGTTTTTTTAAAGCACTCATCAACTATGCACTTACTATATGCTTAAGTGGGCATTTTCACAAAGTGGATGGAGCCACTTTAACACCACTAAAGTATTGCAAATAAAAATACTACCGAGTGGCCCCTTTCAGATCTTTATATTATTATATTATAGGATTGGTATTACTGATGGGTTAACATGCTAGCAGTATTTCACTGTTTTAACTAGTTGAGGTAGAATTAGCTTTAACTACTTTGTGTACTGTTTTGTAGTTTAATTAGCAGAAATGATTTATATTTTATAAGCTATTGTTATGATTTTAATCTTCAGAGTAACTTGTTACTGTAACTTAAAAATACTGTAAACACATGAAAGGTTAAATGTACAATAGATATAAATGTGTTATGTTAGTAAGAAAGTAGCATAATCACTCACACTCACTCACACACACAGACACACAAACCTACACACACACATTCAATATTAATGTAGTGATAATAAACTTGAAAGCCACGATTGGAGAGGAAGTTAAATATTTCTTTAGTGGCTCATTAGGAGTGTCCATGTCTTCACAGTGCATGTGTGTGCCCTACCCTACGTGTACCTCAGTGTGTATTTTCATCTCCAGCCTTATGTATGTTAATATTCATGTGGAGTGTGTCCGTGTCTGTGTCTATGTATGTGTGCTTTTCTAAACATGTCCATCATGCAGAGCGCTCTGAGCATGACTTGGCTCTTCCTGATCTAATCAGACCTATCACATCCATTCAAAAAACACATTTTTCAACCCTGGTGTGTGTGTTTAAGAGTGTGTGTGCATTTTAAGTGTATATGCCTACCACTATTATTATGAGTTTATATTGAGTGCTTTTGCTTCTTAAGTTATATATAAGATATGAGATGTATAGTTCTCGTTTTTTCCCAGGACTTCATGACTTGGAGCATCCTGATGTAGCGCTGGCAGATGAATGGTGAGAGTTTGTCAGCGATGCTGTATGTTTCTGTTCTGACAATATAATCCACATCCCTTATTCAAGGCACACTGTGATTGGACTATATCCTAAAAATACTCTGTACTTGTAAAAATCAAACAAATCTACAATCTAACTGCAATATAATACTAATATAACAGCTTTGTAATCTGCAGGACTTTGATTTGATGGCTTGTGTCACTTGTTGACTTGTGGTTACCAGGATTGGGAACCAACATCTAAATAAATTACTGTAAACACTTTCCAAACTAATACTTGTAAATGGGAAAACCTTCTTTGTTTATACTTCACATTGTATTTATCATAGTTTCCTTGCAATGCAAAAGCAACTGAAAGCAACTGGACTTTATGTCCGATCTATATCTAAAAGCTCAGATTTCAAATAGCTGTTGTCAATTATGTCTGTGTTGCATGTTATTATAACCAATGTCCTTATTGTCCATTCTTGTAATACTGTAGGACGTACTGCAACACCGATGAGCACCCAGAGCACCGCCACTTGTCCCAGATAGAGGCAATCAAACTCTACCTCAGTGGACACGAACCCCACCTACAATGTCAGTTAAACTCTCCTACAAATCCTCCATTCCTTTCTCTGCTCATATAATTAAATATATAATTTCATGTATTATGGCTGGTTGGTGAATATATATATATATATATATATATATATATATATATATATATATATACATAAGTATATATTTGTTTTGTTAGGTGATAAGGAGCTGATTCAGGAGGTTCTCTTTGACGCGGTGGTGACTGCCCCTTTGGAGGCCTACTGGACGAGCCTCGTGCTCAATAAGTCTGAGTGTGTGACCCACTCTACTCTTTCTTTTCCATGTTCTTGTCTAAAACAGAAAAGGTTTCTGCATAAACTCAACACAAACTGAACCCTGTAGTAAAATACCTCCCTTTACTCTACAGAAAACCAAAAAATCTAAGGCTCTTGTAAAAGCCTCCTTTTTGTTTTGTTGTTGCTGATAGCAAATTATGATTGTGCACAAATGCAGGTTACTGTATGTAGTTGTTCTACACAGGAACTCTGATAAAGGGGTGGAGATAGCCTACCTGGGCTCAAGAACAGGCCTGTCCAGAATTAACCTGTTTGTGGTGCCCGACGAGCTTACAAACCAGTAAGTATGCTGAGTGTATGTATTCAGTCTACAGTATATGTATGAATGCACATTCATAAGCCTTGCAGTGCATGTGTTGATTGTCTCTTTGTTTATGATTCCAATCAGTAGATATATAGTGCTTTGTGTTTATACATCCTCTGTATCTTCATCAACTTTGTTTCCTGTCTGCTTCAAGAGACTTTCTGACAGCTGAAGACAAAGAGGGGGTGTTCAACGCCGATCACTTTCCCCTGTGGTACAAGAGAGCAGCAGAACAAGTTCCTGGTACCTTTGTCTACTCTCTACCTTTCAACTCAGGTTAGTCAATTCTCCCCATGAAGTCAAGTGTTTTTGGGCTTGGTCAGTTATTACTTTTAAATTATTTTCCGTTCTACACAGTCACCATTATTAGTGTGCTATAATGAAACTGATGTCATTCTGAGACTGGCACCACCATAGTAGACACACTCACATTTGGTCAAATGCACAATTAAAATGTAATACTCACATGATTTAGAAAGACCTTTTTCAAATTTCCTTCGTCCCCACTTTTCCTCTTTCACCCATATTTGGTCGTTTTCTCTCGCCATGCATATCTAACTCCCCTTCCTCCCTTATTAATTCTGGGCTGTGTTCTTGTGGACAGGACTGATTGCTGTGGGTTGAAATAAGATACGTTAAGAGGAGGTTCAGCCCTTTCCATTGTGACTTGGCCAGAACGCACATATAGACACACACTTACCAAAAAAAACACACACCCACACACGAGCACCTCACGCAGTTGCAGTTTAACTACGTCTCTAGAAAATGGTTTCCCTTCCAAAGGGAGAATGTGTTCTCATCTGTCCTCAGCCTCAGGCTTTCCATTAGTGCCAGCTAATACAAGTGATCTGAAAGCCTCTTATTTACTTGCCGGACTCGCCCTGGATGCACTCTTCCTCTCAGGACCGTGGCAGTTAGCTGTAGCCATGAAATAGTACTCTGTGGTATTTATGTTCTGTTTCTCTCTCTAATTACCCTGTGGTCAGTTTCAAACTAATACGGAATTATGATATGTGATGTGAACTCTGTCTGTGTGCCTGTGCTTGTATGTGCTTTTATGTGTGTGGCTTAGGAACAGAAAACAAGAGTGTTGTATTGGCCAGCACCGCCATTCAGCTTCTGGATGAGAGGAAATCACCCATAGCTGCGGGTAAGTGGGGACTCAAGTGGCTCTTTCTCTCTCACACACACACACTTCTACATTGACAGAGGCTGCAATATTCTCTTCGTTCACTGCTATGTAGGCTTTGTTTTCCCGCTCTACAGTTGTCTAACCCTACTTCTTTTCCTCTGTTTGAGTTGAAACACTCACTGCCCACATTTACTGACTGTGCTGCTTTTTTTGTCCATGCGCTTGCCCCTGCATGAACGTATGCTCAGAAGAAGGCGAGAGTGCAACATGGCACAGCCGTTTCAATCGAAGTGTATTTATGCTTGCATATATTAATAGAGGCCAGTTTCATAAACGCCTTTTGTGCATTTTTCCCGTTTGCTTGTTTAAGGCATATTGTGGCCTAGTGGATTTCTTTGTGGCCTGCCTCATCTCACGTCCTGGTGACTCAGAAGCCTCACAATGTCACGCCCATGTAATGCAACTTTGTGCAATCAGCAAGTTGATGGTATGAAGAGCAGCCCTTGTTCTGTTTGCCATCAACTTAGTTACCGAGGAAAGAAACTGCTGATTAAATGGAAGAAATGGAGGAATTTGGGTTAGGATAGAGATTGTAAAACAGTAGTTGTGGTATTATCTCTAGGAAAGTTGTGATATGTTCATTGATGTCATATCACAATATGATAGTCATCGTTTTGTGTATTACCGTATGTAACAAGGGTTACAATATTGTAACCCGTGTTCTATAAGCATAGGCAGAGCCTTCGACTGGACTTTATGGGTAATATTCTCCTCCAATCATAAACACGCATTGTCCGCTGAAAATTTGCAGGACATGCCTACCCGATAACATGCGGACCCCACAGTATATAAGGCAACACACAATACTATCTGCCATCCTACTCACTCTTTAATGAGCGGCGTAGAAGCGTCAGGGACCATTGGTAGAGGAGTTTGACTGTGCTCATAAAACTAGGGTTACGTAACTCACACAGGCTCCACCCTCTACTGGACTCACGGGTACAGTGGGTAAAGCCTGACGAATGCACACCCTTCCGCGACATAGATTCAACCCAACCACACTGATCCTAACCGCCTAGAGGTTAGTTGCCACAGCCCACCTACTTCTTTATAACCTAGGTCGCCACAGCAGAGAATTAGGGGGCCCCTGCCAACCCAGGGAGAACTGAACTGGGTTAAAGCTGTGCTGAATAAACCGCCGGCGCTCCCTTCTCCTCACGGTCGCGTTCTTACGTTTTGTCTCAGCTTTCCTGAGGGTGAGCAAGCGGCAGCTGAGCTATGATTTCGACTTCATTCAGACATTTAAAGCGTTGAGTGACTAATGAAATGGATCGGAGGAGCCCTTCAGTGGTGATGGGAGCTCCCAGGAGATCATCCCGGTCCTTCCTCTCAAGCGCCGTCAGTCCTTGCCACCCATGGCGAAAATGTCCTGCTCTCTGCGCGGTTTGCGCCAAGGCACACGAAGCAGGGCCTCGTGAACATCCGTCCCGGCGATGAGGCCGGGACATGACGGGCACTGACAAGATTCTTGAAATGGAGACTCCATCTGTTGAAATGAGCAGTCAGTGGGCAAATCACCATCCCCTGAAGATAAAAACGATGGCCAACAGAGGTGTGTGCTGCCTTATAAACTGTGGGATCCGCACTTATTCGGTTCGGCACATCCTTAATTGGCCGGCTACACTTGTGTATATTTTCAGTGGTCAAATACGTGTTTGTAATTGGAGGAGAATATTACCCGTAGAGTATAGTAGAAGGCGGAGCCTGTGCGAGTTAGAACTAATGCAATACTTTTACTGCAGTACTGTACAGTACAGAGGCGGATGACAAGTTAGAAAATATTTTAGATGTAATAAGTAAGTAAGTAAGTAATATAAAGAAAGTTGGAAGCTCCTTGTTTGCTTTCTCTGTTTACCCTCTGCATGCCTTTTGGAAATCCTGTTTTCCCGCTTTATTTTACATTGACAGCTTCAGAAACCCAGTAGAAATATCTTGAAAGTGTAAGTTGTTGCAATCCTTTCCACAGCCCAACATATGCGCCAAAGAACAATATGGAGCACAGCTTTTGCCTCATATACAAGCTTCTTCATATAATTATATTTTTAAGTTCACCTGTCAACAGATGAGGGCCAGTAATGCCAGTAGGGGAATCACAGAAAATGTCTGGTCAGAGGAAGGAAAAACTGGAGAAAGCAGAAAGTGGAACATCTTTTGGAAATGCAGAGATAAAATAAGAGAAGAAATAAAAGGGCAGAGAAAGAGAAAATTATTTCATGGTGCCTGAATGCGTTGACATGAAAGCAGTGCATTGTGGGTACTCTTGGCCTGGGGGAAACCACTGGAGCAGAAGGACAGAGATGGGAGAATCTGTGCAGTGCCACAATGCACACACAAACACACATACACATAGAGGATGCATCAGATTTCTTGCAGAGCAATACGCATTCAGCCCACAGTTTACACCAGCCCACGGTATTATTTGACACTGCTGACTTGGTCTCTGTTGTTTTAACATAATATCATTTTCTAAAATGCTGTTTAGCAGCAATTCAAAATGACTGATCAGTAACAAGGTTTCATGATAATCCTATTTTTACATTGGGTGCTGATGTACAGTAATGACGATCATGCTTGTCAGATTGGGGGATGTCTGTAAGGATGATTTTATATAAGAGAGTCAGATGGGAGGAGAGATGTAGGCTGGAATGCAAATTTAGCGTGGGCCAGTTAGGGCCAGTTTTCACTGCCCTGTGCTCCACTGAGCTGTGGACTTGTGAATACGCTGTACACTAACTGAAAAGGACAGGCTGATGACATCACACACCATTGGCCCTGCAGACATCACTTGAGTCACAATGTTACCGTGTTCGTACATACACGCGTGTGTATTCCAGCGTGTCAGTGTGTGTGTGTGTGTGTGTGTGTGTGTGTGTGTGTGTGTGTGTCAGTGTTTGTGGTCACATCCTGAGCCACGTGCAGCGAGTTTGCCGCCGTAATATACAGAGCCACAAAACTCAGGTCAGGCGTTAAGACCAAAGCCATCTGTGTACATTCATGTACCTCCACACCACACTGAGTAAGCTTACATTCATGCTGATGGCAAATTATCGATATATAGATAATAACTAGACACGTCACAAGCAGCTTTTTCCCAGAGAACCAGTGAACTCCATCAGACATAATAATGATTCGACAGAAACTTCATTAATCAAAAAACTAAAATAATTACAATTTTACTTTGCCAACAACATATTAAACTGACAGGAGCAAAAACACCATGCAATGTCTACTAATTTCAAGATTGCCTGTTTTATTTTTTAAACAATTGAACAATTGGTGAAACAAAGAGGAATACGCTTCAACAGCAGAATACACTCCAAAGTGGACCTCTTTTTTTTTTTTTTTTAAATAACCCTCTTTTAACCTCCATCCTATCAACATATTTAAAATAGAAGGTCTAGAAAACTGGGGTCCCTGAGGACCTCAAAAATGAAATACTGTAAGATACAAACATCTGAGCAAAATGCAAATGTATTCATCCCAAAACCATAATTAGTTATGTAATTAATGGCATCTGAAGAAAAATAAACGTTGTTATTTTAGAAAAGTTGCAAATAATTAGCATATTATGTAAAAAATACAGAGAGCAAATGAGGAAATCTGTGTGTGGCTGCATCCGTGTCTATTTAAGAATGGTCATGTCATTACCCTGATAGTGTGTGATACTTTAGAAGAGGACCCGTGGCAAACATCTTAGCTGTCTATTCCATTTCATCTATTAAACTACATTGGCTGCAATTGGGTGCTTTAATACATTGGTATTTAAAATGATTATTTAAAAGCACTTATTAAAACAGAAACAGAAAACAATGATATGAAGTCATTAAGAATAAATTGATTGACAAAGCCCTGAAAAATTGGAATGACAGAGCAAAGCACATACGAGTTATAAAATCAGTATACCTCTGGGGTCTGCTGGGACCGCAGTTAGTAGGATGAAGGGTTTAAGATACTTTCTGCAAATAATTCTTAAATTAGTTGCCAGTAGACGTATAGTAAGCAGGTAAAATATTTCCCTTTATTTTATGTAATACATTTTGAATGACATGACTACCATTATGTAATCAGCATTAACTCACAAACAAAACTCGACTGATCTCAAAAACTGTAGATCTAAATGTTTGTGTGTGTGGGTGTGACTTTGTGCAGCAGGATGATAATTCAAACTCATAAAGCTGTAAAGTTATTTAAAAAAAACAACAACAAGGCTGAGTCCAGGTGTTGTTGTTGTTTTAGTTTGTTTCATTATTGCTTCAATGAATTTCCCATCTTCACCTCAGTTATCAGAAAAATATCCTTTAAGAAAACATATATCCTTCTCAAAACGATATCACGTTATTAGGCACAGACTCTTAAATTCTTTGTAAATTTGTGCATACAGTAAACATCTCCACACGCGCACACTCAAGCACATGAAATACTGACACAAACACTCTCATTTTTGTTCTCATACGCTCACGTCAATGATATTAACAACAGAACTTAACTGACAGCAGCTGCCTACTATGCATTACCTCAAAATCAGACTCAAAATGATGAACAACCAAAAGACAACTAATTCTGAAATCCATTTTTAAATACTAGAGCTTTGCTATTATACCTACAAGTACACAATTATAAATATATAGCAATTTGTTCTGTGATATGCATTTCTCAGAAAAATTGGAATTGATTTCTTTTGGATTCTTTGGCCTGCCCCACGAACCCGCATACAGTAGAAGGTACTCTTCTCATCAGTGCATAGTCAAATACTTGTGGAGTTTAGCTACCCACGTCTCAGAAAGGAGGTGAACATACGCACATTCCAACACATAAAGAATCACTCACTCTTCTTTTTTCACACATGCACTAACACATGGCAGATTAGGTTAAAGGGTTGAGGCCCAGGTTTTAGGTCCAGGGTTCATGTTATCATCTCTTAGGCGATAGCATTCTCCAGTGATTCCTTCTCATCTGCTTTGGCATGGTCTGCCCCCTGTGCTGCTGCCAACTCCTCGTTCTTCTTCAGCTCCCGCTGATATTTGGCCATGATAGCGGCGTAAGCGCAGCCGTACACTGCTGCAGCCAGCATCATCAGAAACACAATCCCACACACTACGCCGGTGATGATTACTGTGGCAATTGCATGGCGCAAGTTGACAGGCCGGTGCCTCTGCTTAGGTTCACACTCTGGCAAACCCCCTCCTCCTCCTCCTCCACCACCGAAACCCTCCCCCATTGCCATGGGGACATGGATAGCGTGGCTAGAGGGATGAGCATGGTTGCCATGCGTGTGGCCACGCAGTAGCCTCTCATTCTCCAAGTGGTGTATGTTCGCAAACAGGTAATGGTAGCTTGTGGCCATGCAGGAGTGGAAGAGCTGGTAAGGTACTTTCTGCAGGTCTTTGTCCTTCATTTCCTCTGGCTGGGAGCAAAGCACCTCATCCACCACTCCACCTTGGGATCAGAGTTAAATAGTTAGATCAGAGAGGGACAGCAATAGACGGACTGAGGGGCAGGAAGGAATAGTGGGGCATGCATCAGTCGGGTGTTGTGTATTATAAGTACATTACCTTCTGTTAATTGCCCATTTACTTTCTGGCAGCTTACTACAGAGGAGGCCGCAATTGTTTGCATCATAGCTGAGCCTTAACCAGCCGATTACTCGAGATATTTATTAGTGTAGGGTGTAATGGCGTACTTTAAAGGACTGTATTAGCAAGTGTGATTTGATTTACACCTCAACCACTGCAGCTCAATGAATCAAGTCTGTTAAAAAAAAGTGAAATAGTTAAGTCTTTATCAGTTTCCCACTGTTTGTATCTTAAATCTCTCTGATTATTCATCTGTCTCGGTTTTCATGCTCTGTCACACCCTTCCTTTCTGCCTGCCTGATTAACCGCTGGCTCTCTAATAAGCACACATCCTTGTATCTGGGTCCATTGTTTTGGTTTGCAGTAATTAGAATTTTCAGCCTCGAAGACGAAAGCTGTGTCAGGGTAACATAGGCATGTAGGCGGGCCAGCCAACTTCAAGCGAGTGTAGCTTTCACTGCACAGTGGTTATATGTTATCTAATGCATGCTGAGGTTGTTCTAGCATGGAAAATAATGTACTTGCCAATTTAACTCTTAATACAACTCTATCTCTGGCTGCAGAGATCACCACCATAGTTATAAAAGCTGCTGCATATGCCTAACATTGCAACATTATTCGTATTGCTTCATGGTACTTTTAATTTAGCTTTAAGGTCAGGCTTTGTTAGTGAAGACAGTCACAATTATAATTTTACTGTAAATGTTGTAAGTCGTCACCATACATTATCCAATACGGCTCATACATGCATGTGGTCACCTCCAAAACACAGCCCTCATCAGATGTTAATAATAGTTTAAAAGCCAAAACAATAGTACACAATAGTATAAAAGCCTAAACACCCTACATTCCTTCCTCAGCTTCACACCAAACAGCATGACACACGCACTCATTCCAGCATCTAAAAGGTCTGGACAGACCTAAAGCCTGTTCTTAACTGCACTATGTAAATCTCTCCAAGCACAAAATATATAAACATTACATTCATCTGGGGTCAGTCAATCTATTTTAATCGCTAAAATAGGCTCTTCTCTCATATTGTTCATTTTAATACAGAGTCCAGCTATTTCTAATCCAATAGTTTCACGATACTTGTGTTTAAAGTCAGTCAATAATGTAACATTACGATAAAATAATCGAATGCCCAGCAGGAAAGGCATTGAGATAAATGAAAGTTTGAAATGTTAAAGACATTGCTCCAGCCTTTACCTGGAGCTTCTGTGGTCTAACCTTTAAAGAGGTAGGTCTCCAGCCAGAGTTTGAGGCCTATGAGCTGGCAGTCGCACCTCCACGGGTTACTTCGTAGTGTGAGGCTGTCCAGGTGGGTCAGGGCCTCCAACAGGGAGCGGTCCAATCGTGTTAGCCTGTTGTGTGCTAGCCCCAGGTGGCTTAGGTTCCTCAAACTATCGCCTATGGCTCCAGGCAAACCCCACAGGCTGCAGGTAGGGGCATGGCAAGGAAACAACATAAGATACATTTAGCAATGTGCGATCAATTCTACAGTGTACATTGTTTGAGAAAGGACAAATAACAAAATTCTATCTGTTCGGTTTTGTTGCTTAACCTGTTGTGTGAGAGGTCAAGGTGTGAAAGCGAGCGGATAGGCCCAAGCAATCGCTTGTCAAGCTCTCTCAGGCTGTTGTAGGCCAGGCTGAGGCGCTGTAGAGTTCTGAGACCAAGCAGGGCAGTCGGTGAAACAGATGTTATAGAGTTATTAGATAGATCGAGAATGCGGACAAATGGTATTTCTCGGAAAGCCATTGATCCCAGCCCCCTGATACGGTTATCTTGGAGATACAGTTCTTGGGTGTCTGGATGCAGTCGTCGGGGGATGTCATATAGGCCTTGACCCCGGCAGTCTACTACCTTGGTGTTGCTGTTGCAGTTACACTCCTTTGGACAGGCATGTGACAAAGAGAGTAGGGATAGGAGGGCACACACCAGTACCACTGTGGAGACAGGAGGACATACTGTTAGATTAAATATCTAAACGTATGCTTGTGTAGTTGCAACTAAACATTTTCTAGGATGTCCAAAGATGTGATCTCTTTCAGCAATACCCTAGACTGCTATTTGATAATTGTATACATTCACACCACAGTCTTCAATTGCCATAATGACCATCTTCACTGAAGTAGATAAAGGCTTTTGTCACAGAAAATAAACATTTAAGTGCACACAAATGCATTTGAAAATATAGTCTTTAGAAAAGAATGCAGTCTTTTAGCTTTTGCCCAGATAGTACTGTTCTTTGTCTAATATACAAGAATGTAAACTTATTACTAATATGCCAACTCCCACTTGCCACCCTCCCCTAGACAGAGGCCCTTAGTGGCTTCACCTAACACTCATAACCCCTCACCCACACTGCACCCACACATAAATCCATATGCAGCAGATACTGGGTGTCTGATTCCCTTTGAGATGACTTCACATGTCCATTCCTTCTGGAGCATTACAGCAGTATTTATAGCATTGGCTGGGCTAGCTCGGGGCTCAGTGAAATGAAGCTCAAACCCAAGCCTGGGAATGAAGCTGGCTCACAAGTTACAATCGTAAATCCTGAACAGATTGATTAGCTGCACCCTGTTTATCTCCATAGGCATAAAATGTTGTTCTGAGACCTTCTGCAGCCATGTTGCTGTTTGGGTTTATTTAATGTTTTCTAAAATGGGAGTTATCTCATTGTCTCCCGTACCAAGGGAAATGCCGCACAATAATCTTTGCCTATGGTATGCCCTTGTGATGAAGCAGCTTTCATTTTTATAGTAACCTGAAACAGCAAAATGTAATTGTTTAAATTCTGTGGCCACACAACACTCATACACACACAACTGCTGTTATGCAGCACTATCACTTGGAAAATACTCAAGCCTCCCTTCCACGGATCCCCTAGTCTTTGAATATACCCTATTGTAACATAGTTCGGTAATTAGAGTGACAGTGTCCCATTTACAAGCACGTAATCATCTTGTCTTTGCCTGGCTGGTGAACATCATGCAGTTGATTTTGATTTACAGACTTAGAAATACCCAGGCGCTCCCAGCTCTAATCTCAGGTGTTAGTTTGGTACAGCGGCTCTTGGCAGTGTTCCTCTTATGATAATGTGTCGCTTGCATCAACAAAAACAATCAGGAAATGGCTGAGTTGAGGATTTAGTGTGCTATTGTGCGAAGCGCTGTGTTGATTGCAACCTTGTTAGTGAAATTAGAGTGTGTGTGTGTGTGTGTGTGTGTGTGTGTGTGTGTGTGTGTGTGCGCGTGCAAGAATGCATTCAATCACATGTGCTTGCACACGTCTGCACTTACTCATGAACAAACTCATATACATACAATGCATGAACACACATAAACAGCATTAGCTCAGTGGAGCATTGTAACAGCAGCTCTGGAATCAGGTCAACAGAATGGCTCTTTGCTCTGATGTGTCCCTCCAGCCCATAGTACACATAGAAAAGCTTGTAACGACATGCACACACAGCAAGTACTGCTTTAAATCACCTTGATACCAATGTCAATATCTATACACAACAGGAAACACTCAATGATAATGTACAACTATAACCATAAAAGTGTGAATGCAGTGCTGACATCTATGCATTTAGATTTTATTTCACGAACTGTTGTGAGCAAGGAGCAGTCCATGCTTCATTACCACTCAGTTATACAACAGTTTACACAACATACTAGACTTAGCAGTTGAAAGTAGCCCACCTAGCCATGCACATGTACAATACAAACACACACTAACATACACAAATGCATTAATTTTGATATTCTTCCCAGTGGTGCAGCTCCTACCTCTCATATCTGCCAGTCGTTCTTGGGCCGCTTGCATTCAATCTTCTTTTAGCTCCCTTTTTGGATTCTAGTGACTGTCATTGGTTGATGATCCATTTGCCGTCAGTAGTAGGTTGAGAGTAGCTGTCCTCACTCTCATCTCTGTGGGCTGATATGGTCAATCTGTAGGAAATAGAGAGGCCGTGATCAGCAGCAGAAGCCTGTGTTGCCCTCAGGATCCCCAACGCTGCCTGCACGGGCATGAAACCCCATCAGAGCAGGCAGATCAGATCACAGAGCTTACTGCCAGCCAGTCTGGGAATCACTGGAGTTAGGGAGCTCTCTCTCTCGCGCTCTCTCTCTCTCTCTCTCTCTCTCTCTCTCTCTCGCGCTCTCTCTCGCTCTCTCTCCCTCTCTCTCTCTCGCTCTTGTTTCTATTTTCCCTCTTCTCTTGTTGCTTGATTTTATTTTATTTCTGCTCCTCTATTACATCCATTGGGAAATGTGATGGGGTGTCATCTCCCAGTGGACAGCTGGGAGATGACACAGCTTCTTAAATCACTGCTCAAACACGTACGCTGACATTCGCGTTACCTCCTAATGCTCTGGCAAGGCTTGAACAAGACAGAATTAGAACTGGATTGTGTTGTGTCAAATACACAAATACTCAAAACACTTCAAGATCCAGTGAACACATTCGGAGGAAACCCATTGTTGTGGAATGCTCTGATGATACTATGCGTGAGCCGTGGGCTGAAGGGCTGGCAGAACACACCCCCAGCACAGCAACACAGAACGCACGAATGCACACATACGCATGCACACATGCACACAGCAGGATATTAAGCTGTTGCAGTTGTTGCTGGGTTTTTTTTTTTGCATGTCAATGGATTGACTGTTAAGCTTATATGACCTCATGGGTCGCTTGAAGGAGAAGCAAAAAAATGACAAAGAAGGAGACAGGAAGAGATTAATGATCAAATCATTTTTAATGATGAATGTGATTAAGCTTACTATCCGGCCTTGCCTTGTAGGACCCTCTCTAGTATTTGCCCTCCTGTCCTTCCAAATGTATATCCTTTCCTCTGCTGAAGTGCATGACAGTTATTTTCATTCTGTCATATACAGTAAATAGTGAAGTCAATATGTGTCACACGCTTATACTTATCATTGATTGTGGTAAATGTGTAAGAAATCAGCCTTGAGCAACTCATGCACACATAAAGATACGTTTTAAAAAACAATAGATGCCAAATGTAGTATTGATGTATAGGGTCATGCGCACACACACGCACACACACGCACACTTGCATCCACACTCACATTCACTCTAGCATCCACACTCACATGCACACTTGAGTGGTCATGTGCACCTGCATAGGCAAATACATCCTCAAATGTGTGATGGCACCTTTCCTAAAAGCCCATATTGTTGATGTGTACAGACTGCAACGTCTAAAAATATTAAGCATCAAAGAGAAACAAAACATGCCCTTCTATTCCTGCTCTTGGTCATAAATTATCATTATGTGCATCTCATGTGATGCATTAAATGCGTGTGGCATCAAAGCCCGAAGGGCAACCTACAAAGATGGTTTGTATGATTTTAATGAAGGTTTCTATTAGATCTTATGGTTCGTTCAGAGAGCTATTTGAAATTGGTCCAACACAGATACATTTTTTTCCAAATGTTTTTCAAATAGAATCTTTTATTTGGATTTTGCAACAACGATTAGTCTCAATTTTGCCTCAACAAAAACACACAGGATGGAGAAGTCATTGGAGCGTAGGTCTTGTAGACTGCTGGCATCCTTAACAACAGCTTCCTGTTCTGCGCATCCTCTCAGCATCTTGACATGATCCGCCCCTGCGCTGTGTTGCTGTGGAATGCACCACCAAATTTGCAAATCCCTACATCTCTCAGACAGCTCTGTGTGATTGCGAGACTTGAATGTGGGTTTATGCTTGTCCTAAAGGTGCCGTCACTGGGATGTGAACTGATGCATACACTACACTCTCAAAAAGAACAGAAACACCTATGCTTGTCCTTTCTACAGCACGTACATGAGCACAATCATCCACATACTCGAATGCACCCTTGTGCTGTGTACCTTTATGCAATCCTTATTAGAATCCAAAACATCTGTAGGATTTAAACTGGTTGTCATCTCTCCCTGCCTGGAATTGCACTGATAGGAGAATGGTGATGGGGTGGATTTAACGTCTCTTCATCTTTGGACTCATAAACCCAGCTCAGGGCATAAATACCCCCAAGTTCTTAAATCATGCCGAGGGAAATTAAATTTTACCCCATAGTACAGAAAATATCTGAGCATTAGTGAGACGGATTTGGGCTTTTCTCTTTTTGCTCTGAGCAGACTTCCAGGTAGCAGCCAACATTAATGCACTTTTAACCTCTAATACACTTGTACAGAGTAAACTCCTGTACTGCTCGTATTGGTATTATGGTTCCATGAAATATTTTTCTTGCTGAACAGATCCTAGAATATACTGTAGATGTATTCATTTTACAATTTCATAGAAGTTGACTATTATATTACATCTTTGAATTATTTGAAGGTGCCATGTTTCAAAATCCACAGAATATTTTTCTGATAACTTCTTCCACCTCCTTATCTTTTTTTCTGTCTCAGTCACTTCTTTGTTTTTTCAGCTTTTTTCAGAGTAGATGATCCTGTATCTTTATGATCTAGGTTCTCCCATGGTTTAATACCATGTGTGTTTCCATTGCTGTTGCCCAGCATCTTAATTTAGCCTCTCCTCCTGGGTTTTCCATGTGGGTGTAGAAATGGTGGGCTGCTGAAAGGATCTGGCAAAGCTTATGACGAGATAATCTGCACCTGTTCCTCTGGGCAAGGGCTAAAACAGGCCACAGCAGCACCCCACTGCACACTGAACTTGGACAATCGCACAATTGCACAAGCACACTAAAAGAAGTGCAAACCATTTATCATTGATAATTCTCTCTTCACGTGTTGGAATTTATTGAAGCATTTTTTTTAAGCTTTAAGTGAGGATGTTCATGTTTATATGGATCCTATCTACATTCACACTCACTGTATCTATATGTGTGTTGAGACTTCATGGCATGGCATTTCAACAGCGTCATTTGGGTTAGACGTCAAAATCTCACCTATGTGCTAGATTTGGGTTAAACCGTATCACTGGCATCTCACTGGATGAGGGCCATAGGCACCACGTGGGATGCCTGTGATACAGCCGTGATGTCACTGTGACTATAAACATCAGCGCTACCTACAGCTCTGTGCCATCCCACATGGTTCGATTCGTATGTAAGGGGGCGCAACAACGGCTTTTAAGAAAACCCTAGGAATAGTTCCACATTCGCTGGTTGAAATCCCGAAGGAGGAGCGAATAACTTATCCTGTACTCCGCCACCTTTAACCTGCAATAACCTAATGTGTTATTTGAAGCATGTTAAAGCATGTTTGAATAATGTTCTAGTAGAAACCCAAAATATGAAAAGTATGACCCTGACAATGAGCATGATATGTCCCCTTAAAATAGGTTCCAACGCCACATTCTTGACCATTTAGTTAACTACCTGTGACTGCTCTGCATTTGGATAAATTGTGCTCCTGGAAAGACTTGCAGACCCTAAACGCTTGGCAAACCCCCACCGAGTGAAAGCTAAGGTCCTCTGAGTCTTAGTAGCAGGGGGTAAAGGGAGACGAGGGAAGTTAAAGCCTGTGGTGAATGTGTCAATCTTTCCTCAGCCACCTTTGAAAAAGCTGACATATTTTTTTCCAGGCAAGGAATTCTAGTCAGATCTGTGCATTTAGGGACCTGCTGGGATGAGGCTTATGGAAGTAAGAGCAGCTCTGTATACCAACTCTGGAAATTCGATGGATTTCATGTGGTCACAGTGAGAGGTCTGGTTTAGAATTGTGTGAAACTGCATTTTTAGTGTGGTTAAACGATCAGTGCACATGTGTGCAGATATTACAGTATTCTAAACAAACACAAATATAAGCTGACACATGTATGATGCAGTCACCCTTTTGGCCTATTTGGTCCTGCAGGGGTTCACTGTAATGGACAAGTCTGTGCATGTTTTCCCTCGTATGGGGTTAATGAAAGATTCACTTTGACTCTGTGTTTATATTAATAATATCTCTCTTGCCTGTAGGATTACTTCTGTTATGATAAAGATCACAGTGAACTTGCACTTGAACACACATGTCCAGTCGCTACGTCTCTGTGACTGTGTCGTCTCTCTTTCAGCTGTTGGCATCCAGATGAAACTGGAGTTCTTTCAGAAGAAATTCTGGACAGCCAGCAGACAGGTACACATGCATAAACACACATCCTGCATGCTTACATATTCACATGTATACCACAAATTGTTTGGTTGAACTTTTAACATTTAAAGGTCACCAGTCTGTTTCATTCCATTTATTTATTTATTCAAAAACGACTTTGGAAGGCAGTAAAGGTTTTCAGCTGACAAAAGAATGAATCTATAAACAGCCTAAATATTTGATGTGACACCCAGATACACAATGCAGATGTATTGTTTTTATCGTACAGTGTGCAGCATTAGATGGGAAATGCTCCATAAGCTGTGATGATGAGGTTGGTCAGCCTTCCTTTTCTCCATCAACCATACATTATTCTGTCACTTTTACTTCTTACAAATGCTTGAACACTTTGTTTTATATTTAACAGAACATTAACTGCTACCTCATTGACAACAACGGCTTTGTTCTGGTAGCAGAGGACTATACTCTGGTAAGACACTGACGCACAAAGAGACACATACACGTATAGAGCCAGATCATGCAAGATTAATGTTAAAGATTGCATAACAATCATAGCAAATTTCCTGCAAGCAAAAAACACAAGGGACATTTTGATGCTATTTTAATTTAAGAGGAGCTATTAGCGCAATAGCTTGTTCTGACACCAGCAACAGTAGGCTATAAACACAATTGGGTTTGTGCCAAATGAGAGTCTATAATTTATTTGAAGTCAGATTACATCAGAGTGGACTGAGTCAGTGCAAATCTACTGTACCTCTTGCATTTGTTTTCCTATTATAATTAAAATATTTTCCCTGCATCACAGTTTTTGCCTAGACTGCTCTCAAGGAGACATGGTGCTGCCCTAGCATATACCCTCTGCTTAGATGTCCCCAGACATGCTGTCACTCTGGCTTTGTCTCATCTAGAAGCCAGTCCGCTGGCTGTCGCTGCCCTTCTTCTGCTTGTTCTTTTCTGTTACTTACTTGCTTACTTTATTTGATCTTAATTTAGAGGTGACGGAGCATTTTGGGTTCCTCTTGTCAAGTTGTTTCATCTAGTTGTTGTTATGTAGAGATCACCGAGAAATCAAGGTAACAGTGATGTGATACATTAAAGTAGTCAGTAGGTCCGGGTGAGCGGGACGATCTACTAGGCTGTGTCATTTCTGGTAGGAGTGTCAGAGGTAGATGTTTGATAATGGTTTGATAGCTTTATTCCTGTGGCATCACCTGGTTTGCAGCACTTTGGACAGGCAGGATGTCAGGCATGTGACTGTGTAAGTCTTGGATCACATTGGGCCGTATGTTGAAACAATTAATTCATACAGAAAATGGACAACACTTTTGATTTATCAAGCCTCTTGAATGTTAAGAAATCCAAACAAACAATTTTTAAATATCACCTTGTGGTAAGGAAAATGATGGAGAGGGGAGGCGGGGCATAGCACACAGATCAGCTTAAATCAACAATGAGATTGTTGTTCTTTTTGCAGAAACTGTAATGATGGCTTTATGTGTGGGAGATTTCATTCTTAGTTCTGTCCCTAGCATTGTGCGGTGTTGTCTGTGTGCTTTAGGGTTTGGCAATTAAAGGTTGTGTCCACTTATGTACCTGTAAGACAGGGGTCTTCAATTAAAATTCCAAAAGGTCCAGATTGAATGTCCCCGGGCAAAGGTATATATATATATATATATATATATATATATATATATATATATATACCGTGTATATTCAAGAAGCCTAGTAGTAACAACGTCTCTGTGTAGTCAACAACTGTCAAATCAAATAAAGAAAGTACATGAATTATATTTTAACAATTATTATTCTCACTTTTCAAATTTAACTGTATGGATTATAAATAATACATAGAAATACATAAATAAATGTTCTTCTCATTTCAAGTACAATAAGATCTGCATTAAAGAATAACTGATATAACAGAAAGCTTTTCAAAAATGTGCATCTTAAAATAAAGTAATTCATTTTAGAAAAATTAATTTCACTGAATTGTCCTGCAGCTTTAAATTCAGTTCATTCAGGTGTGAAGTGATGTCAATCAAAAAGACACAATATTATATTTTTGTAATTTAAAAAGAGAAATGTTTCTGCATGGACTTTATCTGTGGTTATTAACACTTGTTTCAGCTCTATTATCTCTGTTTACATCATTGTTGGGCAGTGAATTCATGTGTTAGGATTCTGATCATATTGGACTCTTGGGTTTATTTTCTGTGTCTTCATTTAGATGTGAGTGGGAACGTTTGCTCAAAAGAGTTGTGCTTTGTCTCATAGTGTCGCTTCATTTACTGCTTTTAATAATCGTCACGGTCTCTGAACATGTGAGACACACTGGTTATAAACTGTCCGTGTGAAGAATTAACCTATAAGAGTCTCTTCATTCTTGGTTAAAGACTCTGGTCTCTCTGACCACTTTTCTCTCTTTGGAGAACGTCATGTGAAATAACTTCTCTGACTCACGTATTATTCTCCTGCTCTTCCTTCTCTTTCCTCGTCTCTCCCCCGGTGTGTGTACATCTCGCTCGGGAAACTTGTCAGAATACTCATATTTGATTGGCTGACCTGCATCACGTGATGTGATTTACAACGCATTGGTCGGTGTGTTTCCTGCACCGCTGAACAAGTGCCGTAAAGGCTGAAAAAGCTGCGCCGGTTAAAATAGAATCGCTCTGTCAAAATAAAATCGGTTTTAGGTCCTGGGTCCGGATACAACGGCGTCTGGGTCCGGATCCGGACCGCGGTCCGCCAATTGGCGAGCCCTGCTATAAGAGCTTCTAGCATTATAATCATATCGTTTTAAGGTGTTGAACCATTTTGTTATGACTTGTTATGCCTCCGCACACCAGCCATGGACTCAGAGATGAACTGATTCGTTTTGGTTGGTCATGTCCGTCCCATAGTGAACATGATTTCTCAGGAACACGTTGAGCAAATTTCTTCAAATTTGGCACAAATGTCCACTTGCACTCAAGGTTGAACTGAATAGAATTTGGTGGTCGAAGGTTGGAGTGACTAAACAAAACACGTTTTTGGCCATAACTCAAGAATTCATGTGCTAATTATGACAAATTCACATGAATGTCTGAAAGGGTAGAAATAAGATGAAGTGATGGAATTTTGGACAGACATGGAGGCATACAACAGTGAGGTGGTAATTTTAGTTTTATTAAATAAAATCAACTTTCTCAGACAGGAAAATTCTTTGGCGAAGCAGAGGGGGCTGTAATGAGTAAGCTTCTGCAGATGGGCTCTTTCAAGAGGTAAGTTTTGCAAACTGCACTTGTGTGGTTGTTTGAGTGTGTACTTATAAGTGCCAGCACAAGTGTATGTATGGGTAAGTGTAAATGTATGTGCATAATATCAGGCAGGCCACAGAATGAGAGCATGTCTTCCCTCGCGCTGACAGCTCTTAACTTGGCCAATCGTGTTGAGCTATTCAGCGCTGAACTCCGACCCCTCGCTCAGCAGAGTTCTCCGTTAGGGGATTACAGCAAATCCTTTCCTGAAACGGAGGAATTAGGAGAAACTTGAAGTCACACACACACACAGACGCACACACATAGACACATTCACACAGATATTGCTTGTTGTGGAGCTTTGTCTCCTGGAAAACGCCAGGAGCAGTGGGTGGCGACTTTCTGCAATTAATTTAGAAATTTAACCCTGGAGGATAACTTTCCCAGTATTTCAGAATAGAAATACAGAGAATCAGTCACAGACATATTTTGTAGTTTGACTGTGGAATCAAACTGGTATGGTCCAGCATTTGTTGAATCTTTAAAGACCGTGGTTGCAGAAGCTTAAAAAGCACATTTCCACCACTGCAGTTCCGCCTTCGGGAAATGGGTGAGGAGATTTCAGCTATGCTGTCTCAGTACATAATAATCATAGGTGGCAAATCATCGCACAAGTAGACAACCACGCCTGTTTATCATAAGGATGAAGCTCAAAAGCTAACAGCTTCGGTTTACAGTCCCTCTCATCAAAACAAAGGGGCTACAAGTGCTTTCACTGAATCTTTAATGTTGGATGATGAGAGATTGTTTCCAATGAAGGCCGATGTATGATGATGAATGAATAATATGAACGGTTGGTTAAGTATTAGCATGTGTAATATAGCTTATATATCCTAACACTAATGAATCCAGTGTGATCTGTCCAAACCCAGTGCCATCTGTGGAGAATTAATGTGTTAAGTTGCAGCACCGTTTTTGTCTTGATAAAAGAAAACAAAAAAAGTGTGCCACTTAAAGTTTACACCAAGCTGCCAGCTTGGTGTAAAGCTTGGATTTATGCCAGCTTGGATTTATCCATCAGCATCAAGGCTGCAGATGAAGACCCATTATTTCAGTCTTTTGGATTATCCATCTTTTCAAACAAGCAATAAAAAGGGAAATCAATAAAAGTATTGAACGTGATGTTATGCTCCCATGCAAAGTAAATAAAGGCTGGCACACCCACACTCATATACAGCAGTCACACACCTTATACTCATACTCATAGACAGATATTGCATTGGTCTAAGTTTGCTGCTAACACCATTATGTGGCCTGGCTTAGTGCTAATTGGTTCCTGGCGGTGTGTTGGAGCTGTGTGTGTCACCGGTACTGTGACTGAGGTTTGAACATCGCCCAGGGCTGCGGATAGACTGGGCCCACTCAGACATCACACACATGCACATGTCAAGTATATAGGAACTTGTCCACAGGCTATGAGAAAGAGCACACAGTGTGTATGTGTGTGTGTTTATGTGTGTGTTAGGAAGCCCTTGAATAACCTCACCCAGACAGACCGAGACCTCACACCCTCAGGGTCTACTAAGCCCTTAAATCCTCTGATATCCCCCTCAAATATCCCCCCAAATCATCTACACACACACGCACACACACACACCTTCCTACATGACTTTGAGGAACCTCTCAGGGAGCTCTCGACTTTCAGTTGCTTTCGTTTTCCCGTTCTCGCCACATCCATCTAATATATTATCTGTAGGTAAAGTGTTGGTTAAAGCAGAGCCTTCATTCCTGTTCCCACACAGCAGTCCAAAAAGCCCCGCAAGCATGTTATAGTACAGCTGACGTGTAAATCAAGACTTATATCAACTTATCTGGGCTATATCTCCCTGACAAATGCATTGTGTTTCTATAAAAACATTCAATCTATCTTAAGTTCAGTTTATCTTATGTATTTTATGTCTCTGTCTCACTCTCTGTACTCTGTCCTCACTTTTCCACCTTTATCTTCTCAGGGTCACTCTGTATGACTACCAGGCTCTATGTTGGGTTTTTTCAGAAAGTAGTGACAGTGGACACACACTGTTGGATGTGAGTACTGCATTTCTTTACACTCCGTTTAACCTCGTTGCACTCCACGCGATGCAAAGTTGGGGCCGTGTATTGTATGTTTATGTGTCTAATCAATGTTTCCTCTTTCTTTCTTTTCTTTAGCCTTACTTTGCTTTCTTCTCAATCGTGAAGTGGATCCTGACTGAGCTTGTCATGTAAGACTTCTGTGTATGTCAGAGTGTCTTTTGTCTGTAATAGCGTATGCTTACTGCATACATATGCTGTTGAGGACGTGTATGGTGGCCTCTCCTGTCAATGTGTGTATGTGGCTATATATAAACTGTATGATTGTTTACGAGTCCCTCCACATGCACGTTGGCTTGATCATCAGTGATCATGAGCAGTAATGGCTACCTGATGTTTCCTGTAGCACGGGTAGTCCTGTGATGCCATGTTTTGGTTGCGGAGTCTTCCTGGGTGGTCTGTTGTCGCCGCAGTGCATCATGTGAGGATAGAGTTGTCAGTGCTAATTTTACAGCCGGTCACAGTGCAGGCAATTATGTGTCTTTGAAATATAATGATCTTTTGATTTATGTTTCTCATTTTAAATTGATGTTTTTCTTAAGATAGAATTAAAATATAAATAGTCACATATGAGTGAGTGAACATATCTGTGTAAGGTCAGAACTAAAGGGAGAAAATAACCAAATCATCCAGAAACACAAAATGAAAGATCAATAAAAGACGACCTGCACACCAATAATTGAGAACTTCCCGCGGATATTTTACACTCACTTCTTGAAGAAGTGTTTTGTGTTTAATTAGAATGAATGACTTTGAGGCATTTTAGAAACATATAAACTTGATGGAATGCAAAATGGATAAATGGCAATGAGAGAAAAATTCAAATCTATACCGTGGTTCCTTCTAAAACTAAATTGTTGATCTTTTGGGAAAATAGATCATTTCCCTGAATGTCTTTCTTGAGAAACCTTTGTCATGTAGGTAAAAAGTGGTTAAGATTCAGTGCAGAGTGTAGCAGTGTGTATTATATAAGCATGTGTTGGAGTGTATTGTTATGGTCGATGTCTTATCCATATTTAGATTCCTGGTGGAGTTCAACTTGTACAGCTGGTGGTACTCTGACCTCACAGCTAAAGGTAAGAGCACACTCTTTGGTTATCTGCTCATTCTCTCTCTGTGTGTCTGAAGCAGTCACACATGGGCACACTCATATAAAAGTATGCAGCTTGTACTCTAATTTAATAATAGTTTATATGCAAACAACATTATATACATTCCTAATACATATGGCTTCGGGCATGCACACAGCACCGCTCTTCATATTTATTTTGATTGTCTGTTGAAGTTGAAAACAGTCACAATGGTCATTATAATATAATAATTAGATACATTGAGTGCTACATTTTTTTTGATTCTCAATTAACAATATCGAATCAATAATTATACTACGGATATAGAAAGAATCAGGATTATTATTCTTACTGTGCGTTTTTCTAATTACAGGCTTTCATTACATGTCAAATGGGTCTGTGTGTTTTTATTTATTAATTCATTTATTTCATTATGGTGCTAAATTTTCAACATTCAGAAACAAAAATGAAAAGTTAAAAAAAAAAAAAATTATATTTAATAATTTAAAACACTTGTCCATTGTCAGAGAGATAAAGAAAGATATTGTCCCCTGCAAAACAAACAAAAATAAGACCAAAAAACAATTTTCTCTGAATTTTCTCAGATTTTGTTATTCTTGCAATTTATGTCATTGAAAGCACGTAAACACAGACAGGTTCTTATGGATCTCATAGTTCCTAATCATCAACTATATAAAGTTAACGTAATTGTGTTTCAGCCCAAGGCTTATACCTCAACATTACCATGTGCAGCATTAAATGAATAACACCTAATTTTCCAGTTTCTGAAACATGTGTTTTTTTAATAATAGTTTTTGCAGTTAACTTTCCTGTCTCGCAAAGACGAAAAAAGGAAATTAAGCAATTTTCAATCTTACATCTGCCCATAAAAACATTAATGTTTTGTAGAATGATCATCAAAATGCTGTTTTTTTGGGGGGTTTTCTTAGTGCACATGGAACAAAGTTCATTGCGTACAGAGTAAACAACCAGTGTCCTCAACACTGACCTCCTGTCTTCATCTTCACCATTTCCTCTCAGTCTGAGTCAGTGTGACCACTGGAAAAACAGAATAAAAAGGCACAATCCAAAACCTAGTGTAAAAAAAAATGGCAGAACACGTGATTGCCTCAACTGACCCCAGTGTGAGAGACTGTGTGTGTGTGTGTGTGTGTGTGTGTGTGTGTGTGTGTGTGTGTGT